GCTGCAAAGTCTTTCCTTTGGTGCTTGGTTTTTTGAAGTAATGAACTATAGTTTTTATCGACAAGCTTTGAAATCATAAAGGATAAAAAGGATAAAGCATTTGCCGTTGATCAATCCCTTTTTGGGATGCGGCACGCATTCTACTTCCATTTGTACATTCGTAGTGGCGTTTGAATGCGATGTGGCCTATACAATGACTTGCGGGGGCCAGCCGATGTACAAGTCAGTGTTTTTATCCTCCCAGACAAGTCTGGTACCAATTAACCGACCCCGGAGGGATGGAAGGCTTGGTTGGCCCGGGCGACTCACGACCCAGGATTTGATCCCCGGACCGCTCGCGTGGTAAGCGTGCCACTTGCCACTACACCACTTCCGCCCTCAGAAATCATTACAGACCAAGAAATTAGCTAAATTAGCAGAGGACTCCAAAGGATAGTTCCAAATTAGAGGTTTTACACCAACAGAAATAAAATAAATTAATTGGGGAATCAAATCGTCTACCAAAATATGGATTCGAAAGATTAGGCGTCTCAGTATGGCCTTGATGTGATCAGTTCTTCAATAGATTAATTTGTAGGGGAGAAACTGATGAAGTTGGAGGCGCGTTTCAACTCTGACTCACGTTTCAAACTTGACGAAAAGTTTGTTTCTAGCGGAAGCGAAGATGAGGACGAGGATGTGAGTGTATCAAGTGAAATTTCCTTTATTTCAATGGTCTCGCTTGCTGCGAGAATTTCTTTCCTTTTCTTACCGATGTCAATTTGGCGCTCATTCAGGAAGTCGTCCAAGAAAGATCCAAGCAACTAGAAGTCTTATCGAGAGTTTTGGGCAGTACTGTTAAACCTCAAAAGAAAACCCTCAAGTCTTCTGAAAAGGATGCTAAAGGTCATGCGAAAGTCCGCCCTTTCACGAGGTATAATTCTATGCGTTTGTTTTGATTGTTTATTTTTTTGATAAGTCTTAGCTGTTTGTATCCTTTAAAATCGAGACCTGACTCTGGATTTGCTTCCAGGTTCGATCCCTTCAACGAGGAGCATGTTCGCTGGTTGAAGAAAGAAGAGGTACCTATTGTGAATGAGGTGAAGGCACTAGAAAAGTTTTTGATTCAGTAATTGCATGCAGGAGCTGAGAAATGGAGCGAACGATGAAGACAGCAACGATGAACACGTCGTACTGAATGAAAGTGAAGGAGGCCCGATAAAAAATGGCATTCATTATGAGATGCAGCCTGATTTTGCTGAAGAGGTAGGACGTCATTACCTAAGTATTTTACAATTCATTCTGAGAGCCATGTTGTACCTTTTCCTTTCGGAATCTGTGGATCCTATAGTTTGGGCTCAATTAGCTCAGTCACTTTTTTTGAAGGGTGAACACTCCGTTAATTGTAGCATCCCTTCTGATTGTGCTTAACCCTTCGTAAAAAACTTTCTCCGCAACCCAACTTCATGTTTCTTTTTCAGCTGAAAGTGCGCTTAGCTGGTGAGGCTTCAGCTGCAGAATCTTCCAACGCAAATGGTGGCTTCTCGTTTCTGGCGATGGTGGGTAGGAAAACTACATCCGAAAGAAGCTGGTCTATACGCATGGTCAAGTTGACATTTTACCGAACAAGGTATGTCGGAACCTTGTCTGTCTACGAATCATTGTTCTACACTTTCGAAAGGTTACTAACCACAATCGCCACGCTATTTGCAGAAGATGAAGATGATCTTGGAAAGCGTTCAGGACGACGACGGTGTTGATACAAAGGTTGTAGTTCCTGTTAACCCGAAGTCTTCCAGTTTGGTGAGCGTTCGCTGCGTTAGTTTCGATAATTTTTTTTCACTTTTGATGTTGGTGAGATCGGTTTTTCTAGGGAAGGCCTGCTAACACTGCATTTTTCGTTGACGTGGCCAATGAAGAAACAACTTACAAAGTTTTGCACTCAGCAACTTCAAAGCGAACCACAGCCGCTGAGCGGATATGTTCGCTGTGCGGCCGCAAAACCCACCGAGACGTCTTCGCAGAAGGTAAGTGTTGTTTATTTTTTGAAAGGGTGGGGTAAAGGTTGACGACTTATTTTCTGATGAAGCAAAGCTTTTTTTTCTTTTGCCACATTGATTTGAATTTGACGTTGCACTCAGGTACTGGGAATCTGAAATCAAAAAACGACGGAAGATTGGTAGTTTGATTTATCAATGGCAGATTCTCTAGAAAATCGCATGAATCAAAGCTAAAGCAGGTGATATAAGTGATTGGAATCATTAGAGGTGAGAAGAGAAACCATACTGTAGGCTTGTTTTTGGAATATGACGCGTGCGTAATGACGTGAAGGCTGTGCATGTCCCTGTGAGTGCTCTCGGGCCGCCTTACATTTGGTTCCTCACAAGTAGTCCATCGCCATCACACTTCAGCCTTTCTGGGCAGAGGTAGACAAGGCGTCCACTAATGCGCACAACAGTTATAAATCTCCTTGCTCCTTCATCAGCGCGGAAATCAAGTATACAAAATAGGTGCCGTTATGCTAGTTTTAGCCGTTTTTTTGGTTTTTTTTTGTCATTGCATATCGAATTTTATATCTTACGGTCAACCAACTCGTCGTACCGATGCCATGAAAGTAATCCTTCCCAGAAAAGTCACTTCCATTTCGCCTATAAATCATTGGCTTGAGACACTTTGTTCACGATAGAAACGAAATGACCAAAAAATTTGCGGAGGAGGTTGCTACGCATTTGAATTCCCGCTGGAAATGTCAGAAATGCTGGCGGCGCGAACGCTCTTACTTGTTTCCCGAAAAGTGTTGTCATTAGAAATACTTTTTGGCCTTTTGATTGATTATACTACGTCTCTCACTTCTACTGCATCCTACTCTATCGATATTTTCGCCCCCAACTCTCCAAAATCGAACGCTTTCACCGATTCTTCCAATGCCTAAGTTACGCTACCGTCGGGGCACCATTTCATCCTAACCCAGCTTTTCCTGGTATATCATAGCTGTCAGCACTCCCATGTATAACATGTTGAGAAGGTTGGCCGATAATGCAGATCCGCGTGGGCGAAAGCTTTAGCCATGCATTTTTTGTTTGTTTTTGTGCCTTAACTGCTGTTTTTGGCCGCAGTTCGCCTTGCGAATGTTTCACAAGAATGCTGGGTTGTGTACCAGAAGAGCTGAGTTGGAATGAAATGGTGCCCCGATAGCGTAATAATATAGTGCCTTGCTCGGTAAGCAAGGGATACTTATTCGAGTCTCGTCTGAGGTGGGAGTTTGTTCTATACAACGTCAGCAGTTCCGCGAAACAATCTTCAGCTTTCTTTAGACGTTAAGCATTAACTGGCCTCTCAAGATCACTCACTGCTTCCTTTGGGACATCAGGCACTGATGGGCTCCTCAAGGGCAGCCACCTGGCTTCCTCGATCACTATCAACTTGCTCACTACGAACATCGTACACCAAGGATCGTTCCGATCACTGGCGCACTTCCCTAACAGCTTGTGAATTGCCAACGTAATAGCAAAATATGACTCCTACCTAAACCTTATTTGATTTAAATTAAAAATTTACACTTGGTTCCTGATCATACCTCTCTAGGGTTTGCCTTTTATACTGATTGCTGACTAGTTTGGGCATTAATTATTCCCTTGTAACACGTTATATAATTTCAGAACTACAAACATCTACGGAAAGCGGCGCTCAAGGAAAACCGGCAGAATCTCATGCAGAGTAACGGGAAAAATAAGGATAAGAAAGGCTTGACGTTCCCTAAAAAGAGAGACAGTCAGCAGAAAGTGATTGAAAAAGTGTGATAGGGAATTTTACATTGTTGCCTATTTTTGTTGATCCTTTTGTTGATTTTGAACTTGTTACTTTCAAGATTTGTTTGACATAGGAAATTGATTTCATATGCATCAGAATAAAACATTTTAATAGTCATACTTTTTAAGCAAAGGTGCAGCTATACCTTAGACATATTTTTATGGCTAAAACTCCACTTCATTTCTCTCGCTGCAAGTTTGTGATAGAGTAAACCGCCTTCAAGGTCAGTTCATGGATGAAATTCTCAGTGGGCAAAGCAGGAAGGTACCAGAGTTCTATCAGACACTAGGTTGTGACAGAAACAGTTCGGTAAGCCCAACTTGTATTATATGTATTGGTTTTTGGTTGTTTTTTTTCCAATTTTCAATCTGGTTATTTTTAGTTAGAACAGATCACTGCCGAGTACCGAGCCCGCGTTAAATATCTTCACCCTGATAAACTCGATGAAGCTGATCCGATAAAACATGAGGAGTATCTGCGACTGCAGGTTGTTGTCACATTCGAAGTTCATTGTTTTCCTTTTGCAAAAACGAAATGGGTGATGTCTTATCTACTCAGTTTTTTGCTCGGGGAGGAAGCTTCGAATCGATGGCGAAAGCGGAAACGGTACTGATCCACGCCTCTCGCCTGGCTCCGTCCCCTTTCACGACTAAAACTGGGATTACAACTAGGCGCTACCGAGTAACGGCACGCATACCACCTTCTCCTTAAAGCAACAATCCAGGAACGAATTCGCGGGTAAGGACCACCTATAATGACGTTGCAGGTGAGAAGTTGGTCAATGGAGAAAGAAAAAGTAGAAAAAAACGTCGGGCAGGGGCTTAGACAGGGACTCCCCCTGCCGTTTAGGGAGACGTGTGTTGGACGAGTTGTCCGAACCTGCCCGTAGTACATGCGCTCCAATTGCAACTGCTGGCAAATAGCCATGCATGCTTGCAAATACATAACTATTTGCCAGCAATCGAAATTGAAGCGCTTCAATTGCGTTCTTATGGAATCGACCTCATACAGCGCGGCGGTCCCGCAACGACCGCTAGTCAAGCGCGGACTCTGCACAGCGTATGTTGGGCGATCCGCCTCTTTATGGGTGATCCGCCCCCTCCAAGAGGACTTCGACCCCTTCCAGCGCATTTTAGAGGTAGGTTTTGAAATTAAAGACATTTCCTATAAACTTTAGTTGGGGCTGGGGCATGTTTTGACCGCCTAATGACCAAGTAGTTGAAACCCTGCCTGGAGCTGTTGGGGCTTTAATGTAAACCGCCTTTTCATAGCATTCGAAAACCATATGAATGGAGGGTTTCAATCACGGTCTAGCGAGAAACTCGAGCCGGTACTAGTTTCATGGTTGTTTAAGTCGGCCTATGACACGCTGTCTGATGAGGAGGAACGACGCTGTTACGATGCATGGTTGGATTGTTTGCTTCCTCTCAGCTACGAGGAGTTCAAGAGGAATAAGGACGCTCTAAAAGTGGTCAGTTTCAGTGTGAAAATTTTACATTTCTGCAGTTTAAATATTAGGTTGTAGGGAAAGTTCTCGCGGTTTTTCGAAGCACGTTGAGCTCTGGTTGAGCAACTTTTTTGAATCGAAGCCAGAAAAGTTCTTTGCCGAAGGCATCAAAAGTCTGCCCGAAAAATGGCGAAGAGTGATAGAACGTGATGGTGATTACTTTGTTTCCTAATATGTTTTCTTGTTGATAAAAAATTAAGGTAATGATATGTGTCAAAAACCGCGAGAACTTTCCCTACAACCTATTATATTGGTTGGTGTACAATAGCATACATTACTAGGTGAACATTGGGAATACTAGCGCACACTATTATTTGGTTTTCCCTCCATCGCTCTTTGTCTTTATCCCACAGAATGGGGCATCGGAGACTAAGGGAAAAGTTTCAACTGCTTCCAATCTGGATTGAGATTCTGGCTGTCGAGAAAGGGGACTTCTATTTGTAAAAGCGTTACTGTTGCCTTATGAGTTCTACAGCCGACTCGCAACAGATACACGATTGGGGGCTTTCCAGTTAGGGGGAGGGGCATCATGAGCAGTTTTTTTTTTCAGAAAGTAACTCGCGAGTCAGGGGGAGTGTAAGGCCAGCCTAGGGGGTGGGAGGTGAGGGCAGCCACTCGACATGCGTGAAAAGCTGAAAATGTTTGAGTTCACACTAGTTCGCTGAGAGGCTGCATCATTATGATGGCCCCTCCCCCAAATTGGAATAGACCCCGATTTGTTCTAATTATTTGTTTATCAGGAATTTATTGTTAAAGCATAGAATCTTCAAGTTGTTTTAGGTCCTCCCTGCACTGGATAACTCGGCAAGAAGGAAACACCGATGATATCGTCGTCAAACGCTGCGGTGCAAGTGACATCTACGGAACCAGACAAAAAGTTCTCAAGATGGGAATCAGAGAGGTATCAATCGGACACAGTGAGAAGGTTCCGAAATTATGAATTGTGATGCATTGCATGCACTTTAACTTGCTTACTGTGAGAAGCATAATAGCCTTTGTCGCGTCGTAGTTTGGAGTGTTGTTAATTTGGGGATATTATTTGCTTCGTTACGTTTGATATGTGATAGAAGGCTTCCACTATTGCTGTGATATTTTCTATTCCCAGTGTAGTTGATCTCACATCATTGTGACCAAACAGAGTTAATAAAAGGTGCTTTGTATGCGTAATTCTTTGTCGAGATATGGTATTTTCCATAGTATCTTTCGATATTAGTTCGTTTTTTTTTGGTTTTTTCTTAATACGTGTTTTGAATTTTCTCATGCCCTTTTTCATGTTAAGGCTCTGGTGTGGCCAATACTGTCGGGGTTTTATGAACGGTGAGTATTTTTTGATCCAATGCGATGTTTCCATTGGTTTGAATTTTTTCCCGAGAGCAGGGTGCTTAAGAGATGTTTTCAGCGTATTCTCTGGACGGTCTGGTTATAGTAGCGCTTCTAGTAATTTGTTCGTGTGCCTATCTTAAACGAGTGCCTCGAATAAACAGCTGGTTGCTTTCTGAGAAGAAGGGGTTTTTCGGAGTCTTCTACAAGGTGATAACCAATGCATTTACTTGAATTGTCCAGTTTTCATGAATTTACTCTGTGTTCTTGGACTCTTGTTTACTCGTGTCAATTCACTTGTTTCTAGGCTTCGGTCATTGGAGTACGCTTGCACTCCTTCGTTTCTGCTGCCTGTTTCCTAGCTGCTGGATATACGTTGTTCATCAGATAATTATGGTTCAACATAAGATTAAACAAAAGGTTTGGTTGAATTTACTCGCTGCAGTCTGGCTCTGCTGTTGTACTTAATTTGCCCATCAATCGGTAATTTTACTCACCATTAGATCAGAGCAGGGTGGAAGTGGTGTAGTGGCAAGTGGCACGCTTACCACGCGAGCGGTCCGGGGATCAAATCCTGGGTCGTGAGTCGCCCGGGCCAACCAAGCCTTCCATCCCTCCGGGGTCGGTTAATTGGTACCAGACTTGTCTGGGAGGATAAAAACACTGACTTGTACATCGGCTGGCCCCCGCAAGTCATTGTATAGGCCACATCGCATTCAAACGCCACTACGAATGTACAAATGGAAGTAGAATGCGTGCCGCATCCCAAAAAGGGCAAACCCTTTGGCCTCTATGCTTAAGATAAGAGCTGGTCGCTTGCTGGTGACTTCTTCATGGTGAGGCTGCATTTGGTTGGTCATTGTAAAATTAGTACATAGCCATAGATCTATATTGAGGCCCTGCCATGTCGACGGTGACATGTCTGTCCATGGGAAATAGAGCTTTCATAATCCTGCATGTTTCAGACAACTTTGCCGAAAGGTGTCAAACAAAAGACTAAGAAGACTAAACCTGCTGGCCCTAAACGTGGACATAACCTTTACATACCTCCTAAAAAGCAACATCTCATTCAGCAAGTACGTTCTCCACGCTGTAATTTATTGTTCTCGACAGAATGCGCCATTTTCTCAAAAATCTTTATTACAGGACAAAGTAGGGGCAGAAGTTACGAAGATTATCAACGAGAAGAATGAAGAAATGGTGAAAGGTCAGGCTGATAATGCTGTTGGTCGTAATCAAAAGAGCTGAATGTAACTGAACTGTTCTGGTACTTTTTCTGCATTTGATTTGATACATTCTTGGCAAGTATTGTTGGTTTCGTGTCTGCAGATATCTATTCGCATGTTTAACACTTCTTGTTCTTGTGTTGTTGTTCGATTGAATTCCTCTTTGATCTACTCTTGGATTCTGAAATTGTTCCCCTGTACATATCTATCAGGGAGGATAAGGTTGGTCAGGAGATTCTGGTTTGTGGTGTCTCTTTGTTCAAGTGTTTTTGTGAAAAGAGTTTATATAATCCAGTTTTAAGTTCCTACAGTGTTCGCCCAATACATTACGGAATTATGCGCAGAATCCTCAATTTAGGCTTACCAAACATTCAGTTTACATTTTTCCAACCCCATTGCACCAAACTTCAAGGTTTTTTTGAAAAATTGGAACTACGTGGATGTGATCACAAGGGTTTACATTTATTATCGTAGTATCGATATGTCGTTCTGTATCCATGTTGCTCGTTCCCTCAATTAGTGTGACGCGATTCGATGTTGTTTCTCCAATATAGTCGGCGAATCCCAAAAGAGAAGATTGAAGGAGGCGCTTACTATAGAACAAGCCGGCCGTTCATTCTGCATGCTGGTCAGAGCTATCCACGAAAGGCGTTAGCTGATTCAATGACTCATTAGGATCCCAAATTCGACGAAGGACGTTATCCTTATACGTCGGATTTGTTCTCATCGCCAGGGACCGCGTCCTATCTTTCCCCCAAGCTACAGGAATGAGGATCTCTCTGAATTTATTTTTTTCAAAAGCACATGTTTACTCTTACACACATCCATACAATGCCAATAGGTCCTTTCTTAGGGCAATACCTGTCGAGAAACAGAGAAAATTCGAAGGTATTTTCGTTCTTACTCTGCTGGTGTAAGGATAGGACATGACCCAGGAGATGTGATAACGTATACGCTACCCTAGTGGCGATAGACAGAGCACTACTGGGTCGTCGGTTAACGAACTAAAAACAGCCAACTAGTGGAGGACTGAATCAACACGTTCCCGTTTGATCCCGAACATAAGAATATATTAGCTTACTTTTATAATCAAATATATTGACCGGAAGCTAATCTGTTGGCAGGGAGAGCATAAAAGTCACGAATAAAACATCCAATGTGAAAATCAATATTTTGTCTTTTTGGACAAATACAAATTAACCGATTTTGAATGGATAGAAAGCTTGTTTGGGGTCAGGGATTTGATCTTACAATTAGTACCGTATCGTGGGAAGTGGCGTCAACGCCACTATGCTACATCGTTTGGTCGGTTGCAGTTCTCGAACCCGGAGAGCAGTCGTCCCATCAAATGTTGCTTCAATCCGTGGGTAAGTAAAGGCGAAAACTCGCTCTTCGATTTCGGATTTCCTTACCACAAAATGAGGAAATTGTTGAAGAAGCCCACATGGACATTCTACAAAAACCCAACTCTGTCATGGACTATGAGCCGTTTGAGTACTTCGCATTGAACACTTAAGAAGGATTAAACACCTTGTCATAGAGCAAAATTTCTGCAAAGGGGGATTTCTTGCGTTTAGTCTTGGAAAACTTGCTACTTGGAAAATCCTCCAATTTATAATACTTTCTGTATGGTAAACCTGGGAGCAAGAGAAAGTTCCAGACGCAGCAGAAAAATCGAAATCATTTTTGCACGGAGGTGCGCAGGTTATAGGAGTTCTATATTTTCGAATTCTAGCCAATACTTTTCGCAAAATCAGCAAACT